ATCAGGCCAGAATTAAGCAAAGACTGTGAATGGCTATCCACCCACAGAAGCAGTTCCTCCTCCCTTGGTGTTCACGCCTCAACTGCTAGCAGAGCTCCTCACCCGCCCTGATTGAACTACCCTCGTTATCCCCACACTGATATATCCCTGCCTCTAGAGATTTCCATTACTTGCATCTGAAGAAGTGAGGTTCTTACCCACGAAAGCTTATGCTCCCAGTACTTCTGTTAGTCTCAAAGGTGCCACAGGACCCTCTGTTGCTTTTTACAGATTCAGACTAACACGGCTACCCCTCTGATACTTAGCACAAGACAGACACTCTCTGAATTCACCCCATGTACTTAGTCAGTTACTCCATGCAGCAGGTCACATGGCCATACAAACTGGTAGAACCCCACAGCACGCCCAGCCCTAGCCACAGTGATGGAGCAGGTACTTAGCTCAGGCTAGATACAGCAGGTGGCTAATTAAAAAGAGAACAAGCCAGTTGTTTTTGACCAAGTAGAAATCAGTTGTTTAAATAAGATTCATTAACACTCAGCAAAAGAAACAGAAATAAATTCCCCTTGATTACCTGCTCCTCCAGCCTGTAGTGATTCCCAGCTTTTCCTGCAAAGCTATCTACCCCACAAGCCCCACTCTGCCTCAGGTCTGGGAATCCTGTGACTTTCAATCAGCTGCAGCTGGGCTTGCCAGGTTCTGATGGGTACCAATAACAGGGAAATAGCCGACAAAGTCTTTTCCTCCATCCCCTCAGCCAGAGGACGTGCAATCGCTGCCTCAGCAAAAAGTACCCAACCAAAGCTGCACCAGCTTAACTTAAATTGGGTCAAGAAATGATTTAGCTAAACTGGAGCAAAGTCTCTGTAGACATTTATTTTATTATTTATTTATAAGGCTGCTGGTGTGTGGAGACCATGGCCTATCATGCTGGCAACTATTGTCACAGAGTTTCCTGGTCCTCCCCTGTCTATCAGAACCCATCTGTTGTCCCTTGTCTTCTACTTAGATTGTACTTTGGGTCTCCTTGTTGTGTGTTTGTACAGCACCTAGCACAGCAGGGGTCCTCATCCATGACTGGTGCTTCTAGACCCTATGATAGTACAAATAACACAACTGGAAGGGACCTTGAGAGGTCATCAATCCAGTCCCCTGTACTCATGGAAGGACTAAGTATTATCTAGACCATCCTTTTTTATATGGAGATATACCTACCTCATAGAGCTGGAAGGAACCCCAAAAGGTCATTGAGTCCAGCCCGCTGTCTTCACTAGCAGGACTAAATACTGATTTTGCCCCAGATCCCTAAGTGGCCCCTTCAGGAATTGAACTCACAACCGTGGCTTTAACGAGGCCAATGCTCAAACCACTGAGCTATCCCTCCCCCAGGTTAGAAGGGTTTGTCTAACCTGCTGTTAAAAATCTCCAATGATGGAGACTCCACAACCTCCCTAATCAATTTATTCCAGTTCTTAACCACTCTGACATTTAGAAAGTTTTTCCTAATGTCCAACCTAAACTGCCCTTGCTGCAATTTAAGCCCATTGCTTCTTGACCTATCCTCAGAGGTTAAGGAGATCAATTTACCTACCTCCTCCTTTTAAGAACTTTTTACATACTTGAAAACTGTAATCATGTCCACTCTCAGTCTTCTCTTTTCCAGACAAAACAAACCCAATATTTTCAATCTTCCCTCATAGGTCATGTTTTCTAGACCTCTAATCATTTTTGTCGCTCTTCTCTGGACTTTCTCCAATTTGTCCACATGGTCATCCTTTCTGAAATGTGGCATCAAGAACTGGACACAATATTCCAGTCAAGGCCTAATCAGCACGGAGTAGAGCTAAAGAATGACTTTTCGTGTCTTGCTTACAACACTCCTGCTAATACATCCCAGAATGATGTTTGCTTTTTTTGCAACAGCGTTACACTGTTGACTCATATTTCGCTTGTGGTCCACTATGACTCTCAGATCCCTTTCCGCAGTACGCGTTCCTAGACAGTCATTTCTCATTTTGTATGTGTGCAACTGATTCTTCCTTCCTAAGTGGAGTACTTTGAATTTGTCCTTATTGAATTTCATCCTATTTACTTCAGACCATTTCTCCAGTTTGTCCAGATCATTTTGTATTTTAATCCTATCCTCCAAAGCACTTGCAGCCCCTCCCAGCTTGGTATCATCCGCAAACTTTATAAGTGTGCGCTCTATGACATTATCTAAATCATTGATGAAGATATTGAACAGAACCAGACCCAGAACTGATCCCTGTGGGACCCCACTCATTATGTCCTTCCAGCTTGACTGTGAACCACTGATAACTACTCTCTGGGAACAGTTTTCCAGCCACTTTTGCACCCACCTTATAGTAGCTCCATCTAGGTTGTATTTCCCTAGTTTGTTTATGAGAAGGTCATGCAAGACAGTATCAAAAGCTTTACTACAGTCAAGATATACCACATCTACCGCTTCCCCCCATACACAAGGCTTGTTTCCCTGTCAAAGAAAGCTATCTGGTTGGTTTGACATGATTTGTTCTTGACAAATCCATGCTGACTGTTACTTTTCACCTCGTTATCTTCTAGATGTTTGCAAATTGATTGCTTAATTATTTGCTCCATTATCTTTCCAGGTACAGAAGTTAAGCTGACTGTCTGTAATTCTCTGGATTGTCCTTATTTCCCTTTTTATAGATTGGCACGATATTTGCCCTTTTCCAGTCTTCTGGAATCTCTCCTGTCTTCCATGACTTTTCAAAGATAATCGCTAATGACTCAGATGTCTCCTCAGTCAGCTCCTTGAGTTTTCTCGGATGCATTTCATCATGCCCTGGTGACTTGAAGTCATCTAATTTGTCGAGTAATTTTTAACTTGTTCTTTCCCCATTTTAGTCTCTTCTGATCATGCCTCATTTTCATTGGCATTCACTGGTAGACGTCCAATCAGCACTGACCTTCTTGGTGAAAACCGAAACAAAGAAGTCATTAAGCACCTGTGCCATTTCCACATTTTCCACAATTATTTGTTTATTTCAGTTTAAGAGTGGCTTATATGGATTTAGTTTAAGCCAGTTTTGTATTCACTTAAGCTAAACTGAAGCAAGTCCTTCTCATACTGAAATACGAGTCTACCCAGAGTTCTGCCCTGGTTTATCTAAATTGAGTTTTGAACTGATTTAATTTAAACTGGAGCAATTTTTGCATGTAAATGAAGCCTAGAAGACCACATTTTATTGGACAATGCTATTCTTCCCTCTCAGCTTCCACTGAGTTGCAACCACTGCACTGTTAGCCCCCTATGTGGGGATACAGCTACAGGGTTCTCTTTTTTCCTAATTCTGGGACAAGATCAGCAGGAAAGCTGCAGCAGCCAGTTAGAGGCAGAGAAATGTTACTGACCATTCACCCCCCATCTGTAGCTCTCTGTCTCTCTCTCATTTGCACGCTGCATGAAAGAGGAATTCTCAAAGCAGAAAGGTCCGGATCCTCAAAGGGATCCAGGTTTCTAACAAATTAGGAGCCTAAATAACTTCAAGACTCTGGGCCAAACTGCTAATCCTTAAAGGGAAACAGTCCCCAGAGACTTGGAGATCTCTAAAAAGACACTGGGGTGTCTCTCCTTGCCAGACACATCCACAGAGCCCTAACCTCATGGTGCTGGTGATGAGAAGCTTCCTGAGCCAGGGGAGCAGGAGTGTAGCCCACCAAGGAACCGAAGCTACCACTCTCCCTGGGCGCTGCAAAGCACTATGGGTCTGTGCACCACTTGCAGAGCTGATGCAGAGTGCTGGGTCTGTGTTTGTCCTCAAAAGCTGACCTGATTCATTTAGATCTTCAAAGCTGGGTCCACATGACACCGGATGGTCCCCCTGTGAGTTACATACACACGCAGTCCTAGGATGGCTTCGCTTCCGTGACATTGCATCTAGGGTGCAGGATACTACCGCGACAAGTGCCCTAGAAAGGCCTAGCCATAAATAGAAATAGCTTTACATCAGCTTGATACATTTCCTGTTTCTGATTCTTTCAGCCCTTGAGGACACAGCAGGACAAAAGGAGAAGAACGTCTCTCTCTATACCACGGTAAGATAGGCTCTCGGGTAGGTGGTGATGAGCACAGTACAATAACGTACACAGGATAGAATAGTGGCTTGTCAGCGGCTCTCTGAGTTTAGAGTATTTCACACATTACTGACCCCCTGAAAAGGTGACACACCATCATCATTCACTTAGTGCTACTAAAATCCGTCCTAGGAAAGGTATAATGTCATAGGCTAGAGTCAATCTACACTAGCACAGAAGGTGTCTGTCTCCCTCTAGTGGCTGGTTCACATAAGTTAACCATGTGCTACCACTACCAGCTAAGGGAGTTATTATTGTAGCTCAGTGTGACACTTCCCGGCAGTACCCAGGATTGTGGGGGCACTTCGCTACCCCCTGCCCTTAGCATGAGAAAGCCCTGTCTGTGCCTGTCATGGGTCAGCTCCTCAATCCACCAGCCACAGACAACACAAGCCCTCCCCTCTAGGACCCACAGGCCTCGCTATTCCGCTACAGGTTAGCAGTAGGTACACCCCAAACCTTGAACCCTCCAAGCATCTCCCTGGAGTGTCCAGCCCCTAATTCACTGGAGACTCACGCTCACAAATTTCCCACTTCCAAAGAACATCCCACCCCAGCTGGCCAGTTCCACCTCAGCTCACCGCTCCATTGAACAAACAGTGCTTAGAGACGGTTAGTTAACAAAGCAGAGAAATTCAAGGATCAGCAAACGGAGGTATTGGAAAAAACGGTTACATATAAAACAAAATCCTAAGACATTCTAGAGCCTAGACTTAATGAACAAGCTACTCTCATGTCTTGTAGAGTGTTGCTCACCCTAAATCTGTACAGCACCTGACACCCAGGTTGGGGGTGTTCCCCTTTCATGAGACAAGCGCGCTGTCAGTTTGCCTCCCAGGTGAAGGATCCAACATGTCACTTTGTACTCCAAGAGACAATCTTTTGTCTTTATTCATAAACAGGACACTCCTCTCCCCCGGCTGTTTGTTTGTTCCTGTGGATTTCCTTGCTTGTAGACTTCAGTTTCTCAGTCCTCCCCAACTCTGGGTGTAAATAGGCACACAGTGTGCAGCATACAGTATCCAAATGGACAGACAGGGAGATAGGTGTCTATTACCTCCTGCCTGCAAGAAACATCTCCGAGGTGTGTCATCTGCTGGTGACCTGCCTTAATTCCAAGACCTTAAGAACATAATTTCTGTATAGATACATAACTCCTTAAATATTATCCACACGCACATTTTGCAATGATTGAGGACCAATGGGCAACTGGTGCTCGGCAAAGACGGCACATGCCATCCGTCACTGAACTATCTTGCATATATCTGACCCAGGGGATCCTTGTAAACCCTCTGCACCCCCAGTGCCCACTGGAAGTTGACACCAGAGTTCCTTGGGTCACACTCACCTCAGAGAGACTTGTGCTTTTAGAAGGAAATTCCCAGCCCTGCTGATTAACCGGTCTGAAGGGGGAGGGGTCATTATTTAGACTCAGACAGAAAGGGCGCCATTTTTAACATGGCTGCAGCTTAGGGCAGTACAGGGAAGGAGTCACTTCCTGCCAACTCCACCCCTCTAGCTCCTCAGTGTGGCATTTTAGTACGAGGGGTCCCTTAGAGTTTCCTGTTTGCTCTGAGCACCTCTCATGTCTGTTTCAGATTCCTGGGCACAACCTTCCCTTCAGTGCATCAGATCCTGCTGCCACTGGCCAGATGACAATCTATATGAATGTGCAGCACCTGCCCAGCTCAGCCGATCCAGCGTCCGTCTATGAAAGGATGATCCCGCAGATGAGTCAGGTAGGAAGAAAACCCAGTGCCAGCACACTGCTGCTGGAGGGTGTACTCCCCCGTTCTGAGACTCCCTCACTTCCAGGCCTGGAGGACACTGTTCCAAAAGGGAATCTGCTCCAGTTCAGGGGCAAAACCTTCCTTCTTCCTCTTCCTCACCAATAACCAGCCCTGTTCAGTAGCAGCAACTCGAGAACCCTTCAGCAAGGCACAACCTAATTAAAGCCAAGGGTCGCTTGGAGGAATCAGCTGTGGTTTGCAAGGTTCTCGTCTCCTGCCTGGACCTGCTCCAAGTTACTCCATCTCCTCTTCTTGTTGTTTCTTCTCTCTGATTCATGGTGTCCTTCTTTCAGGTTTCAGGACAGAGAAAAGCAGTTTCTTCTGGCCCACAGGACTGCCCAGCCACAGATCTGCAGGACACCTACATCACTATGTGCGCAATCACACCCCATTCCCCCATGATCTGTCATCAAGCAAAGTGTGGGAGAAAAGCTGCAGGCTGAAGCCATTCCTACTCACGGGATATTTAGCAGCTCGTCCTTATTTCCCTACTGTCCCATGAAAGCTTCCAGACTGGCATTCCCTCTGCCCTGCTTCTCCTGAGCAATCTGCCAGCAGCAAGATGTGGTGGGGAGGTCCCACTTCCAGCACAATTTTGTCTTCAGAAATGTACTGGGGGCCAACAGCTACTACAAAGTGCTTCTCCTTTCCTGGACATCAGCTTGAAACAGCACAAAGTCTTGGTGGTTCCGGTTCCTCAAGGGCTGGAGGTATTCCTCTGGTGCTCGTTGTGGCATCTCTCTGCTCCAGCACCACATAATTGCTCATAAAACTCACTTGGTGCAAAGGAGCTTGGTTCTGGGGTCAGAACCTCAGGATGATGAGACAACTCTTTGGCTGGAGGTGATGTGGTGAATAGGGCCTCAGGGAGGCTGAGGAACAGAAGCTTGGGGAGATGAGGGTGTGGAAATAACAATGGGAAGATGAGGCAGAAGGAAACAGCTTTGTCCTCCATTCCCCCAGTCAGCGTGGAATTAATTGTGCTGGAATCTTTTTACCCCCAATCCCATGTTAGCACAGTGGCTTAGAACAAGAAGGGCACATGGATTCCCCCATTTTATATAGGTTAAGTGAAAAGATTGAGAGCCCATTCCCAGACGTTCTTTTTGGACGTCTTCGTCTTTGATCCTAAATACCCTGTGGGACACATCTAAAGAATTTGGACACAAGACCAATATCATTCTGGAGTGTAGGAACAGGAGTGTTGTATGAAAGACACGAGAGATAATGGTCCCACTCTACTTGGCACTGGCTAGCCCCGAGCTGGACATTGTGTCCAGTTCTGGGGGCCACACTTTAGGAAAGAGGTGGACAAGCTAGAAAGAGTCCAAAGAGCTACAAAAATGATATAAGATTTAGAAAAATCTCACCTATGAGGAAAGGTTAAACCACTAGGTGTGGTTAGTCGCGAGAAAAAAAAAAGCAGATGGGGAACCAAATAACAGTCTTCAAATATGTTAAGAGCTGTTATAAAAAGGGGGAAATCCATTGTTCGCTGTGTCCACTGAAGGCAGGACAAGAAGTAAATGGGCTTAATCTGGAGCAAGGGAGATTTAAGATAGGCCTGTCTACACTGGGGGGGGGGGGCGGAGAGGGAGAGGAATCGATCTAAGTTACGCAACTTCAGCTACATGAATAACGTAGCTGAAGTCGACATACGTAGATCGACTTACCGTGCTGTCTTCACTGCGGTGAGTCGACTGCTGCCGCTCCCCCGTTGACTCTCCCTGTGCCTCTCACTGAGCTGGAGTACAGGAGTCGATGGGAGAGTGCTTGGGGATCGATTTATCACGTCTAGATTAGACACGATAAATTAATCCCCGCTGGATCGATCGCTGCCCGCCAATCTGGCTGGTTGTGAAGACATACCCTTAGATAGTAGGAAACTATACAGATAGTTAATTAGTGGAATAGGTTACCAAGGGAGGCTGTGGAATCTCCAGCCTTGGAGGTTTTTAAGAACAGGTTGGACAAAAACCTGTCAGGGATGGTCTAGGTTTACTTGCTCCTGTCTCGGGGCAGGGGGCTGGGCTTGATGACTTCTCAAGGTCTCTTCCAGCATTACATTTCTATGCCTCTGTGTTACAAGAGCTATAATTTGACTTGCTGGTCATGCAGCAAAAGCCACCTGTTGGATAAGGTTTGTGGAGCGGATTGAGGGTCTGGTTCCAGAACGATAAAGGGGTGCAAAGGAATGTTTGCAGTTGGCGAGCTGGACAGCCAGGTTGGGTTTGCTGAGCTGACTGTTTTGTTCCTGTTTGAATGTTTACTTTTAAATGCAGCTGGAGATGTTATGTGGTAACATTTATAAGTGTCTAGAGCCTTTGCAGAGGTGTCTTTTCTTTATTAATCTCTAAATAAACAAGAACCGCACAGCCAGTTGTCAACACACTTGAGTGGCATGGCTAATCATTTCTGCGGGTACGTGTCAATGGCCAGACTTTGGGAAATGCCTGGAGCGGGGTCCATCTGAAGCTAATTTGAAATCACTAGGCATCAGTGTCATCCTGGTGTTGCACTGGCGATCTAGACATTGCTTCAGGCCATGGGAGTGCAGCGAAGGATGCTCATGGGGGTAAAGCCCAGCACGGGGAGTCAAGAGATCTGGGTGCAATGCCCAAGGTGACCGAGACAGCCAAAAGTGACCTTTCTGGGCTTCATTTCCCACCATGAAAAATAGAGAGAACACTTCCCTATCTCACAGGGGTGGTGGTAGGCTAAATTCCATCAGGTTTGTGAAGAGCAGTGAGATCCTCAGAAGCTGCTTGGAGGAGAAGACAGCACAGTACTGCTCTCGCTAAGCTGCAAGGTGAAGGTTTAGAAAGATGAAATGGTGACAACTCCAGGCTCCCACACTTGGGCAGGAGCTCCCACCTGCTCCTATTTGCTCAAAGGAATGAACCTAACGCTCCGTCTGGGTGGTTGGGGGTGGAGGTCCATAGCCTCCTCTCACCTCTAGGCTCTATTCAGTGAGAAGTGAGACCCCCATCCTGCACCCACTGCTGTCAAACGGGAGTTTTGTCAATGCCTATGATGGGAGCAGGCCCCAGGCAGATGCAGAGTTTGCACTGCTGCTGGGTCCCTACAGCAGCACAACTTGTAGACAAAAGCTAAGTAAATTCAGCCCCCGGCCTAGTGCAAAGGCAGGTGCAATGAACCAAAACCACTCACCTGACCACAAAGAACAGACTGAAAGCAGGGAAGGGCGGCAGCTGAGAGATAAGGAACTGGACACTGAGTTCTCTGGATTTCACTTTGGACCCTTAGAGCACAATGAAGAACCCAGCACCATAACACAGAACTAGTGAGATTCTCCTGTTGGAAGCATTTCACAGCCTGCAGAGGGGATATGCTGCTGCTGTTTTAACACATTTTCCCCTTTAACCTGCAAACCCCCGTGTATCCCTGGGATGTGGGTGCTAGAAACGGTGGGGGGATGAGGAACGGGAAATCTATTCCTTTGCTTCCCCAGGAAAAAAGGCTGAGCTGACTGTTTTGTTTACTGAAAGGAAGCAGATTCAAGGCACGTTGCAAACCAGAAAACTTGGGCTGCAGTTCATGACGAAACATGACATGCACATGTAACATGAGTAAACTTAAGCACGTGCATAAGTCTCTGCAGGATCAAGAAATTTTTTTTCTTAAATTTTACTACCAGCCATCCCTGCCTTCTGGCATCATACAGCAAACACCCCATGAGAACAGGCCAAGCCGGGCAAGTGCAGTATGGAGAAGCACATGACTCTTGTCAGGAAATAGCTAGGACGGCTACTCTACCCCACAGCCGGTCCCCAGCACACACAGCCCTGGGATACAGTGTTCAAACAGCAGCCGCCCGTCACCATTTCCTGAATGTGCAAGTTTGAGTTGAAGAGAAACCAGCAAAAATAGCAACATTCAGAAGTTTGCTAAGTGTATCATGGGGTTATTTTGTTTCCAGTCCCAGGACTTCCCATAGCCCTGGTGCTGTCATGCCAGTGTAGTTAGTTAGTACTTTATAAAAAGCAGCTGAATTTTGCTGAAACTGACAACACAACCACAACAACTAAAATAGCAGCCACCTCACACCCTTCTGCACATACTGTACACGCCTTCTTGGAAGGAAACAGAGTTCTGATCTCTCAGCGATTTCTTCGTTTCAATACTGGCCAACATGACTCAGGTTATCAGTGTAGAATGCAAGCGTGGCTGCAAGGATGTGCCTGCGCCTTCTAATGCCCAGAAGCAGGATTGTTTGGAGAGAGAGTCACTTGCAGTGTGTCCTACTGAGAACCAGAGCAATAAGGAGGATCCTGATAATGAGTGAGCTGCTGTTTCCAGGTGAGCCTGAAATGGACACTGGGTGTGAGTGGAAAGGCAAGGAATTAAGTTCTCCCTTCAGGTTCTTCTTGCTTCTAGGATTGGTGGGTATTATTAGGAAGGAGACTTTGTGGATCCATTAATAGATTTTAAAACTGGCTAAGTGATAGATCTCAAAGCATAATTATTGACAAAGACTCATTGTGATGTGTTCCCCCCCCTCGGGGTGCCATGTGGATCTGGGGTACCACTGAGCCCTCCAACCCACCAGCCTGGGCTCCCACTCATCCTGTAATGCTGTGACAAGCTGCAGACAGGCTCCCAGTCTCACACTTTCACCAGCACACAGGTAGGGCCACACCCAGCTGCAGCTTCACACAGATGCTGAGATCAGCTGTACACGGGAAGGCTCAGCTAAGGAACTGCCCAGTTACTCAAGTTCACACCCCCTTGGAAAGGTAAACCCAAACTTATACCAACTTGCACTGCACAGGGAACTGTACAGCGTAAGCTCATGAAATTCATCCCCTCCCTCAATGTGGAGAGGAATATACACAGCTTTCTGCCCCAAGTTATGATTTCCACATACACCGGTTTTTGATAGAGCAAAAGCAAAATTTTTAACTACAAAAGATAGATTTTAAGTGATTATACGGGATAGCAAACAGATGAAAGCAGATTACCCAGAAAATAAAACAGAAACACAATCTAAGATTACTATACTAAAGAAATCAGATACAAGTGGCAAATCCTCACCCTGTTTGTTGGTTTAGGCAGTTTACAGAGATTCTTGAGGGCAAGCTGCACTTGCTTGCAGCTTAAAACCCCAGTTATACCTTTCACAAGCTAGAAATCGCTCTAGCCTGGGTTCAGCCCGTCTCCCCCAGTTCAGTCCTCATTTCTCAGGTGTTTCCAGCAATCTTCTTGGGTGGGGAGTCAGGGAAGAAGAACCACAATGATGTCACTCCCCTGCCTTATAACTTTTGCATATGGTGGGAACCCTTTGTTTCCAACTTTTAGTTCCCACACCTTTCAGTGGAAAACCACTACTATTCTATGATGGAGTCCAGTACCAGGTGACTTGGTCACATGTCTCTGTAGGACCACAGCAGCCATGACTCGGAGGCCATTTGTAGTGTCCTCAGGAAGGTTTCCCGGTGGGAGATTAGCATCTTCTAAGACCTATTGTTCTCCCTAATGGCCCTTCCCAGCCAGCCATCCAGACCCATTGCGTTCTTTCTAGTGGGCGTTCCTCAGGTGTAAACACATTTGTAATAGATGCATAGACAATATTCCTAACGTCAGATACCAAAATGATACACGCATACAAAGAGGATATTAATATTCAGTCAATCATTACCTTTTCACATGACCTATCTTGCATAAAGTACATCACAGCTATGCCATAATCATATCACAATAATATCTCTATGTAGAATACGGGGCATCGTTTCACACTCATTAACTGTTTAGGAGTTTCTAGCGGGATCTGCAGGGATTGGTTCTTGGCCCAATGCTATTCAATCTCTTTATTAACAATCTGGAAGGAAACAAAAAATCACTGCTGGTTAAAGTCTGCAGACGACACAAATCTTGGCAGAGTGTTAAATAATGATGAGGACAGGTTACCTACACAGAGCAACCTGGATTGCTTGATAAACTGGACAAATTCAAAAATCAGGCATTTTAATGCAGCCAAATACAAGGTCGTACACCTGGGCACAAAGACTATAGGTCATGCTTAGAGCATAGTAGACTGTATCATGGAAAGCAGTGACTCTGGAAAGGACTTGGGAGTCACGGTGAATAACCAGCTGAACTTGGGCTCCCAGAGTGATGTTATGGCAAAAGGGCTGATGAGAGCCTTGGATGTATGAGCCGGGGACTCCTGAGGAGAAGCAGGGAGGAGATATTAATTCTGTATATGCCATTGGTGAGGCCTTACTGGAATACGGAGTCCAGCTTTGGTGTCCACACTTTAAAAAGGAAGCTGAAAAATTGGGGACAGTTCCGAGAAAGAGCCACAATGATGCAGGGTCTAGAAAACCTGCTTCACGCTGCGAGAGTTAAGGGGCTCAGTTCATTGAGCTTATTGAAGAGAAGTTCAAGAAGTGACTTGATCACAGTCTAAGGGCTTGTCTACGCTACTGGCCAGATCGACGGCCAGCGATCAATCCAGCGAGGGTCGATTTATCATGTCTAGTATAGACAC